CCATCAGAAAGTGACTCCATCCCCCATCAGATAGTGACTCCATCCCCCATCGGCACAATCATGTTGACCTGGAGCAAACAGCTTGAATACAGGTCTTCTAATGATTTGGGTGGCAAAACCACTTATATTGGAAACAAGAACAAACAAACAAAAAAACACACCAGGTATCCAAGAAATATATGTAGCTACACGTGCCTAAGCCTTGAAAGTCGTGTTAGAGATAAGCTCCTACTGGGCCAGCTCAAAGTCACAGGACTTTGAATTCTCCTTAAATTCACCCATTAAACTCAATGCAGTTCTGGTGCAAATCCAAAAAGCGTGTCCAACAAACTCAGGACAGATTCTAAAACGGGCTCAGGGACAGAGGGGTCCCAGGTCCCTGTGAAGCAGGTGGTGGCCCCAGATCCAGGGCGGAATTGAGGCCCCGAGGCCCTGGGGCCAGGCTGGCGGTGGGCAGCGCAGTCACCGCTGCCCAGGAACAGTGGAGGAGGCCCCGCCTGGAGCTGCCCCTGAAGCCGGGGCCCACAGAGTCCTAGGCAAAGCCAGCAAGGGCCAGGCCAACACGCAGAGCACTGCATGTCTGGAGGGCCCCGAAATAAAACACAACTCACTTTTATGGCTGGCGGGTAGTCTTTAAACATCTCCACGATTCTCATGACGCTGAATGACAGATATCCAGAGGCTGTGAACAGCAGCGGAGACGTGAGGCTGCTTATGGCTATCAGCACCTCCACCTGGAAAAAAGCGCGGGTTGCAGGGCCAGGGCCGGAGCCAGGGAGCCCAGGACAGGGGGCGTGGCCAGGGCTCAGGGGGACGTGGCCGGGTGCTCAGGGGCCTAGTCCCAAGCTGGTTCCCAGCATGGCTCCTGCTGAAACCTCTGCCTTTTCTTTTTTCTTTTTCTTTTTCTTTTCTTTCCTTTTTTTTTTTTTTTTTTTTGAGACGGAGTCTCGCTCTGTCACCCAGGCTGGAGTGCAGTGGCGTGATCTCGGCTCACTGCAACCTCCGCCTCCCAGGTTCAAGCAATTCTCCTGCCTCAGCCTCCCAAGTAGCTGGGACTACAGGCGCCCGCCACCACGCCCAGCTAATTTTTGTATTTTTAGTAGACATGGGGTTTTGCCATGTTGGTCAGGCTGGTTTTGAACTGCTGAGCTCAGGTGATCCACCCACCTCGGCCTCCCAAAGTGCTGTGATCACAGGCGTGAGTCACCGTGCTCGGCCTGCCTTTCTTTCTTTTCTGAGATGCAGTCTCGCTCTGTAGCCCAGGCAGGAGTACAGTGGCACAATCTCTGCTCACTGCAACCTCTGCCTCCTGGGTTCAAACAATTCTCCTGCCTCAGCCTCCCGAGTAGCTGGGATTACAGGCATGCGTCACCACACCCGGCTAATTGTTTTGTATTTTTAGTAGAGACAGGGTTTCACCATATTATCAGGCTGGTCTCGAACTCCTGACCTTGTGATCCACCCACCTTGGCCTCCCAAAGTTCTGGGATTACAGGCATGACCAGCCTGCCTTTTCACTCAAAGCGCAGTGCCACGAGTTTTTAAATATTTACTATCTAGGCATGGTGGCTCACGTCTGTAATCCCAGCACTTTGGGAGGCCAAGGAGGGCAGATCACCTGAGGTCATTAGTTCGAGACCAGCCTGGCCAACATGGCAAAAGCCCCATCTCTACCAAAAATACAAAAACTAACCGGGCGTGGTGGCACATGCCTGTAGTCCCAGCTACTTGGGAGGCTGAGGCAGGAGAAAACTTGAACCCAGGAGACAGAGGTTACAATGAGCTGAGATCACACCACTGCACTCCAGCCTAGGTGACAGAGCAAGACTGTCTCAAACAAACCAAACCAAGAAACAAAAAACATTTACCTGCAATTCTCCACTCTTGAAAAAATAACCCTTCGGCATGGGTCATCTCTTTCACTGTTCTGAAGTCTATCCTTTTAACCCAGCCCAAATTCCCGTTTGACCCGTCAAGTCTCAGAGACAGCCTTCACTCATGCCAAGCACGGGCAGTCACCTTGCAAAGCACTCAGGGTCCACGTTTTGGCAGCAGTCATTAATAATCGGCCAGTCCGTATCCCACCACTGCCAGTTTGTGGCAGTTTTGGCCGGGCACGGTGGCTCACGCCTGTAATCCCAGCACTTTGGGAGGTCGAGGCAGGTGGATCACCTGAAGTCAGGAGTTCGAGACCAGCCTGGCCAACATGGTGAAAACCCGTCCCTACTAAAAATACAAAAATTAGCCGGGTGAGGTGGCAGGCACCTATAATCCCAGCTACTCGAGAGGCTGAGGCAAGAGAATCGCTTGAACCCAGGAGGCGGAGGTTGCAGTGAGCCAAGATTGTGCCATTGCACTCTAGCCTAGGGACAAGAGCAAGACTGTGTCTCAAAAAAAAAAAAAATAATAATGAAATCGACCAGCCTTAGGAGGTGCAGATGATGCTCAGGCACTGGTCTCCTTCTGTGGTTAAGCATGGAGAGCGCTTCCAGAGTCTACACCGCCTTGCTCAGGTCTGCCTGTCCCTGGGAACAGTCCCTGCTGGGCGGGCCAGCCTCCGCCTCCCACAACCTCCACCTTCCTCAGCCCACAGGCCCTGCAGCCGGGTCCCTAGAGTCTGGGGCTGGAGCCTGGTCACATGGCACCAAGGGAGGGCGGGGCCGGGCGCTGGCACCTGGGGTGAGGGGTTCACCTACCAGACACTTGCTGGGACACTCTGCTGTCACATGGCTGGCAATGGCACTTGGAAAGCACTAGGAGAAAGGAAAAAGGAAAGATTTTAGGGGAAATAGTCCAAGAAGTCAAATTCCAAACATGTGCTCTCCCACCAGTGACCCCTCTATCCAGGCTGCCTGGCTGGTGCAGGGCTCGCGTTGGGCGAGGGGGGCGGTGCCCAAGGGCGCAGCTGGGGCAGGGACGGGTCTGCAGGGAAGCAGGGGTAGCCTCTCAGAGGTTTTGTGTGCTCTCTGTTCCTTGACCATTGGTTTAAAATTGTAAGCCTGTAGAAGAGCTGCCAAAGCAGTGCAGTGGTCATCTGAGGCATCTGAGGCCCCAAAATCACCAGTCCTTGACAGTCACATCTGTGCTCTCTCCAGCTGTCCCAGACAGCCTGACGCCTGAACGCCCGAGTGTGCTGGCTGAGCCCAGGGCACTCGTGCACATACCCAAAGCAGCACCACGCCCGAGAGACTGCACGTGGGGCCGATGTGGTCCATGCCCAGATTCTTCCACTTGTCCTCATCATGTTCTTTTTTAAAATTTTTAAATTTTTCTTTCTTCTTTTTCTTTCTTTCTTTCTTTTTTTTTTTTTTTAAAGACAGAGTCTTGCTCTGTCACCCAGGCTGGAGTGTAGTGGCGCGATCTCAATTCCCTTCAACCTCCGCCTCCCAGGTTCAAGCCTCCCAAGTAGCTGGGATATAGGCGCCCGCCACCACGCCCGGCTAATTTTTGTATTTTTAGTAGAGACAGGGTTTCGCCTTGTTGGCCAGGCTGGTCTCGAACTCCCGACCTTGTGATCCACCCGCCTTGGCCTCCCAAAGTGCTGGGATTACAGGTGTGAGCCACCGCACCCGGCCCTGATCATGTTCTTTCTAGAACTGTTTGTTTGTTTCTTCCTGATCCAGATTCAGTCGCCATTGTGCTCATGGTCTCCTTGTGGGTCTCTGTTAATCGGGGAGTCCCTCAGCCTCCGTCACCTCCGTTACCCAGATGCTTCTGGGGACCGCAGCCCGTCAGCTGCGGTCGGGCCTCCGTGTGGGACAGGATTTCTTCACGATGAGCCTTGGGGAGCCTCAGAGGAGACTCTGCAGTGCCCCAGGGTGTGGACTGCCCCTTCCTGATGATGCTGACTTGACTCACTGGGTTAGGGGGATCTGCAGGTTCCTCTGTTGGATGGACGCCTCTTCCTTTTTATAACCAAGAAATGCCCTTTTCCCACTTACTGTGAGGAGCCTGCCTTAGTTCCACATAATGTGGGCAGAGGGAGGACGCATGATCTTCGTCCTCTTCATCCCCCTGAAGGCGTCCAGGTGCCAGCACACGCCAGCACCCCAGCCAGGCCTGCTGGGGAGAGGGCTGCCTCAGCCAGGTGAGAGGGTGGGCAGGACAGAGACAGGCTCCGAGCAGGGGAGCCTGGGCAGCGAGGGGAAGACTGGGGAGCTGAGGGGCTGCCGGTGCAAAGGCCTCAAGTCGTCTGCAGAGGGGGGTGTGGCCCTGGCCAGGGAGGCTGAGGTGTCAGTACAGGGGTGTCTCCTGGGCTTGGTGCTTCTGAAAGGGCCTTCCACCTGTAAGCAGCAGTGAGGGCACAGGAAGGGATGGTGGCTTCAGGGCGGCCTATTCAAGGCCCCAGTGAGCCACAGGAGGGCGGGAGTTTCCCTGTTTACCCAGCACAGTCACTCCGACCCCTGCCCTAGAGGGCCAGGAAGCTCAGCCATAAGGGCTGGGGCAGCTCAGTCAAGGGCCCTGCCCTGGAAGGGTCTGGACCTGCAGCCCAGCCCCCAACTCCAGCCCCGGGCACCTGGTGCAGGCCCTGGGCCCCTCTGCCACACCCAGGCCAGACTCAGGCAGGCGGAGCTGGTTCCCCCATCACGTGCACCTCAGTGGCCTCCCCTCCTCCTGGGGTCTCCTGGGCTGCTCCTGCCCTGAAAAGAGGATTGGGAGTGTGGGTGGATTTAGGGACACCCATGAGGCAGCACCTGATGGGCATGGGGTGCTCTGGGGAGAGCAGGGCAGCCCCCGGGGCAGGAGGGGTCTGCGGGGCGGGAGGGGCCGTGTGATGAGGGCTGACTGCAGGGGCAGGGAAGGGGGTGAGGCGAGTGCCTTTCATTCTCTACTTTTTGCAGGTATGTGGTCTTCATCCTCCCTTAGCTTCGGGATGTAATCCCTGCATGTCAGACCCCAGGGTCAGATGTGCACACCTGCAGGCGTCATTCTGTCTGTACAGATCCGCTTGGGTGGGCACCCACGTGAGTTCTGTGTCTCGGCAGCCGGCCCTGGTCCTGCCCCTTCCGGGGGTGTGGCTCCATCCCAGCTCGGCCCTGCCTGGGTCTCTTTCTGGCTCTGAGCGCCTCAGCAGCCCACTAGGTCGGGCACTGGTGCCCTGGGGGCATTGCTCTGAGCCTACTCACCCCCATAGGGAGCTGAGCCACAGCTGCCACCAATGGGATGTGTACACCCGGCAGGTATGGGCCTTCTCGGCAGTCTACCCGGCCATACCATACCTAGGCAGGCATGGGCCCCTTCTCAGCAGTCCACCCGGCCGTACCACTCCCGGGCAGGCGTGGGCCCCTTCTCGGCAGCTTCAGGAAGAGCCCCCCTGCTGCCCAGGAGGAGCCCGTAGCCGATGCTGGGTGCTCACCATTCCTGCTCATGTACATAAGAGAACCGGGGCAAAATCTAGAAATCCACACAGCATGAGACAAACCAGGGGCTGGCCGTCAACACCCGTGTGCAGGCCACTACATGGCAAGGTGCCAAGGACCGCACGGGGTTTCGCCCGGAGGCAGGTGGGCGGTGGCTCTGGGTGGGCCACAGGCCGTGAAGGGATCTGGCGTGTGGAGGGGTTGCTCTAGACTCAGTGTTCTGAGGGAACACACCTGTGATCCCAGCACTTTGGGAGGTCGAGGCAGGCAGATCACTTGAGGTCAGGAGTTCAAGACCAGCCTGGCCAACATGGCAAAACCCCGTCTCTACTAAAAATACAAAAAAATTAGCTGGGCGTGGTAGTCCACACCTGTAATCCCAGCTATTCAGGAGGCTGAGGTGGTCAAACTGCTTGAACCTGGGGAGGGGCAGAGGTTGTAGTGAGGTGAGATCGCGCCACTGCACTCCAGCCTGGGCGGCAGAGTGAGACTCCATCTCAAAAAAAAAAACAAAAAAACAAAATAAAATAAAATAAATAAAACAGCGCCCATGGATTGAGCATGTGGCATGTGCTAGGTGCTGTGTGACACATCTACTACGGTAACATTTAATATAAAGTATAACAGAAATACGCTGCGTTGTATAAAAGACATGTTGTAATATAAATGCATTATATATTAGAAAATTATATAGAATAATGAACATCTATGGCCTGACATGTGTTTAAAAAATTAGAATAATAAAAATAATTGGTATTTTTTTCAGGAAAAATAATATAAAATAATCATACAAACTAATATAAAAGCAGTTAATTCTTTGACTCATTTAATCCTTAACTCCCCAGTTCTTCTGAATTGGGGGCTGGCAAGGACCTTCTGTGGTGCCTCCCTGTCTGAGTGCACCAAGACTGAGCTCGGGGCCCAGCCACGCAGGATCTGAGCGGCGTGGCCCACAGCGGTGGCGGGCGGGCCAGAGAGGGTACTCACGGCCACTAGGATCCAAAAGAACGTCACTGAGAGGTGTGGGCCTGAGACTGAGTCATCCACGTTCAGGGCAATGATCCCCCCGAGGACGGCAGAGATGCCTGCGATTACCTCGACGACCTGGAGGGGACGGGACAACACCGGCTCATGGGGGCCGCCCTGAGGAAGTGGAGACACCCCCAGATTCCCAGAATGCACTGCACAGACGTGGACCCCCAGGAGCAGGGTGCAGTGGGCTGGCCCCGGCTCTAACCGTGGAGGAGCCCACTTGGACAGACCCCCAGCCTCACCTGGCCCAGCCCCCTCTGCCCTCAGCTGCAGCTTTTCACGTCCCTCCTGGAGGAAAATAGCTGAAGGGATGTTTCCCCCACTGCTGCTTTTGTCTACGGAGACTGAGGATATTGACCTGACAGTGGTGAGGGCAGAAAATCAAGACCCTCAGACCTCCTTCGCTGTCCTCACAGTGTGGCAGGCGGTGGTGCCCAGACCCTGGACCCCATTGAGGGGACTTGGGAAAACAGGCCTGTGGCAGAAGCAGCTTCCCATAGGACACGCCCACCCACCCATGCCATGTGGGTTTGCCATCGCCACGGCAACACTGGACGCCACCACCCCTTTCTGTGCCAACGATCCCACCACCTGGATGTTACCACCCCTTTTCTAGAAATTTCTGCATAATCTGTCCCTTAATTAGCATATACTTACAAGAGGGTATAAATAGGAGGCAGAGCTGTCTCTGAGCTGCTGCTCGAGGCGCCCAGTCGGCTGGGGAGCCCTGCTCAACTGCCACTGCAATCAAAGCTGCTGTCTGCCACCAGCAGCTCGCCCTTGAATTCTTTCCTGGACAAAGCCAAGAACCCTCCTGGCCTAAGCCCTGGCCGTGGGCTCATCTGCCCTGCACCATCAGGGCTGCAAACAGCACCGACAGACCCAGGGAGGGCTGGGGAAGAAACCAACGCCCGAACGCCTGCTCGCACGAAGGATCTCTGTGAGGCGCACATGCAGAGCTGTGGCCAGCAGGAAAGCCAGGCGTGAGGAGCCGGCCAGCAGGGGCCTGGGGGCCAGACAGGACCTGGGCAGCCAGGCCTCGCATCCAGAAGGCACAAAACTCCAGATGCACAAAGAAAGCTGAATTCCCAGCCAGGCACGGCGGCTCACGCTTATAATCCCAGCACTCTGGGAGGCCGAGGCAGACAGATCACGAGGTCAGGAGTTTGAGGCCAGCCTGGCCAACATGGTAAACCTTGTCTCTACTAAAAACACAACACTTAGCCCAGCGTGTTGGCGCATGCCTGTAATCCCAGCTACTCGGGAGGCTGAGGTAGGACAATCGCTTAAACCCAGGAGGCAGAGGTTGCACTGAGCCCAGATCATGCCACTGCACTCCAGCCTAGGCGACAGAGTGAGACTCCACCTTAAAAAAAAAATAAAAAATAAAAAACGAAGCTGAATTCCCACCTGACAGAGACCATGACCACCACGCAGAAAACTCCGGAAACAGAGAGACCGCCCACAAAGGACAGCACCTGGGCCTCCGCGGACGCAGACGGTGGAATAAACACGTCCTCGGGGAAACTGTCAACCTGGACCTCTCTCCAGGCGAATTGTCACTTAGGAATGTGGAGAACCAGCCCAAACTAGAGAAGCCTCTCGAAAACCGACTTCTAAAGAATGAAGCAGAACGGGGCCAGGCACAATGGCTCACGCCTGTAATTCCAGCATTGTGGGAGGCTGAGGCGGGCAGATCACCTGAGGTCAGGAGATGGAGACCAGCCTGGCCAGCATGGTGAAACCCTGTCTCTACTAAAAATACAAAAATTAGCCAGGTGTAGTGGTGGGTGCTTGTAGTCCCAGCTACTCGGGAGGCTGAGGCGGGGGAATCGCTTGAACCCGGGAGGCAGAGGTTGCAGTGAGCTGAGACTGCAGCACTGCACTCCAGCCTGGGCAACAGAGCAGGACTCCGTCTCAAAATAAAAGAAAAAAAAAAGAAGCAGAACAGAAATGGAACCTAAAAGAGAACTGAAATGCTAAATAAAGGGAAGCAAAGGCCCTGGGAAATGCACAGGGACCAAGTCAAGCACACAGGAGGCTGTCCCATTGTTGGAGTCAAAAGGCAAAATGTCGGCCAGGCGCGGTGGCTCAAGCCTGTAATCCCAGCACTTTGGGAGGCCGAGACGGGCGGATCACAAGGTCAGGAGATCGAGACCATCCTGGCTAACACGGTGAAACCCCGTCTCTACTAAAAAATACAAAAAACTAGTCGGGCGTGGTGGTGGGCGCCTGTAATCCCAGCTACTCGGGAGGCTGAGGCAGGAGAATGGCGTGAACCCGGGAGGCGGAGCTTGCAGTGAGCTGAGATCCGGCCACTGCACTCCCGCCTGGGCGGCAGAGCGAGACTCCGTCTCAAAAAAAAAAAAAAAAAAAGGCAAAATGTCACTAAACATCACATGCTAGACAACAAGGCCAAGGCAGAGGCAAGCGGGACAGACGTCGCATGATCCGTTTATCAAGGAGTGCGTTCGAATATGAAGGGCAACTGCCAAAAGGATACTGAAAGCTCTCCCATCCAAAATTAGAGGGAAAAGGAAGGATGGAGCCTCTGCCAATTCAAAAGAAGGCAGGGAAGGAGGGAAAAAGGCAAAATCGGGGAAAATGGAAAACTCAAAAGATGGTGAAAATAAGTAGAAATTTATCAGTAATAACTCTCAAAGGAAATGGGCTACATTCAAAAGGTTAGGGAGAGAGAATGACATAAGATAAAGAACAAAATGCAGTTACGTGCTGCTTGTAACAACTATACCAAAGTATAAGGCAAGAAAACTTGAAAGTAAAAAGAAGAGAGGCCAGGTGCGGTGGCTCACGCCTGTAATCCCGCACTTTGGAAGGCCTAGGTCAGGGGATCACTTGAGGTCAGGAGTTCAAGACCAGCCTGGCCAAAACGTCGAAACCCCACCTCTACTAAAATTAGAATAATTAACTGGGTGTGGTGGCGGGCGCCTGTAGTCCCAGCTCCTCAGGAGGCTGAGGCAGGAGAATCGCTTGAACCCAGGAGGCAGAGGCGGCAGTGAGCTGAGATCGTGCCACTGCACCCCAGCCTGGCTGATGGAGTGAGACTCCGTCTCAAAAAATAAGAATAATGATTCCTCAGGGACAGCAGTGTCGACACACCTACAGCGATAACCAACTCCCCCCTAAAACTTAGGGAACACCAGCAGCACCTTTCACGATAAGGTACATTGTTACCAACGACACTAGTAACAGACTAGAGTCTCCACAGATGAGGCGCACGCTGCCCTGCAGTCTAGACAGCCAACTCTTAGCCAACTCGGAATAGAAACCTGACGTTGAATCCAGCCTCAGTCACCCCCGACAGAGTATGAGAGAAAAGAGAAAGAAAAGGGAAGTTTTCTTACTGAATAAGATTTCAGGACCCGAGCAGGAAATGGTACTTCGCCCAGAATGTTGGTGCTGTCAGACATGGAGCCCTACAAAGAAACAGAGCTGTCACCCCGGGTGCACGGGCACAGGGACCTGGCACTGCTGCTGGATCCGGCCGCCGTGAGCAGTGGGCCAGGTCGGCCTGTGGTGTAGACGCGAGACGACGTTGGAGTCGCCCATGGATCTCTGGGCTTGAGGAAACATTCGCACACACGGTCCTTGCACACGAAAACACGTTTACAGGTATTTTAGCAGATGTGGTGTCTCCTGGTCATCCCCTTGGGACGAGCACCGAGCGCCGGACTGAGTCAGGCTTAGTGGGAGGGGAAGGGTACAGCATCTGTCCTCACCTCCCTGTAGCCAGTGGCCACCAACCCCTCACCCAGCTCCCGACCTGCTTCTGGCCGGGGTTTCTAAGACCCAGGAGAGTGGGGTCTCGTGGGAACGCCCTGGAGCAGCCCAGATCGGCCCTCCAAAGGTGACGCTGAGACCCACTCTGCAGATGGGGGTGCGACTCGCTCACCCTGGGGCAACGCCTCTGCACCCCGTGCCCTGTGGGGCCAGAAGCTGCACCCACCTTCTTTTTCTTGCAGTACTCCTCGCTGGACCGTGCAGACATGATCACCGTGGCCGCCATGAGCAGCTCCAGCAGGAGCAGCAGGATAAGGTTGAAGTTGATCTGCCAAAGGGCACACACGCTTCAGCACTGGGCCCGCCTTTCTCACGCCACTGTGCTTCAGCGTCCACGGGGCCACCTCCCGGGCAGGCTGCGCAGGACTCTGGGACACAGTCCCCACTTTTCCCATCCAGGGCCGGCTGTGAGGCACTGTGGGCCGCACAGTCTCTCTGTCTCACATGGGTCTTTGGGGTCTTTCGGTTTTTAAAACCATGCTTAGTTCAAAGGCTGTACAAACGCAGGCCAGGGCTGGATTTGGCCTTGGGCTCTGGTCTACCGACCCCAATCTGAACATTCCTTGTTCTCACGAAAGCCTGCACTGGAATGTTTAGAGCAGCTTCATGTATGATTGTTAAACTCTGAGAACATAAGGTTTTTTGGAGGGTAATGAAACTGTGGGCCCTGACCATATTGGCAGTCACATGAATTTATACGTGTGTTAATATTCATAGACGCATACATTTTAAAAAGTCAGTGTAGCTGTCTGACAATCTGACAATTTTTTATTTTTATTTTTATTTTTATTTTTTTTGAGACGGAGTTTTGCTTTTGTTGCCCAGGCTGGAGTGCAAATGGCGCGATCTTGGCTCACCGCAACCTCTGCCTCCCAGGTTCAAATGATTCTCCTGCCTCAGCCTCCCGAGTAGCTGGGATTACAGGTGCCCGCCAGCACACCCGGCTAATGTTGTATTTTTAGTAGAGACGGGGTTTCTCCATGTTGGTCAGGCTGGTCTCGAACTCCTGACCTCAGGTAATCCACCCACCTCAGCCTCCCAAAGTGCTGGGATTACAGGTGTGAGCCACCACACCCGGCCTGATAATTTTTGAAATACATTTTAAAAAGAAAGAATGCAGAACCATATTTAACTAAAAACAGAGCCTCGAAATATATGAAATATATGAAGTCATAACTAACAGAGCCACAGGAAGATGGAAATGCACCAGCAGTGGTGGGGAAGGACTTGAAACACTTTTCGTAGAAACTGACACATCAGGCGGTGGCTTCTCTTAGTAAAAATACAAAAATTAGCCAGGCGCGGAGGCTCATGCTTATGATCCCAGCACTTTGGGAGACCAAGGCGGGTGGATCGCCTGAGGTCAGGAGTTCTAAACCAGCCTGATCAACATGGTGAAACCCCTCCTCTACTAAAAATACAAAAATTAGCTAGGCACGGTGGCGCACGCCTGTGATCCCAGCACTTTGGGAGGCCGAGGTGGGCGAATCACCTGAGGTCGGGAATTCGAGACCAGCCTGACCAACATGGAGAAACCCTGTCTCTACTAAAAATACAAAAATTAGCCGGGCACGGTGGCGCATGTAATCCCAGCTACTCGGGAGGCTGAGACAGGAGAACTGCTTGACCCCGAGAGGCGGAGGTCACAGTGAGCCGAGATGGCACCACTGCACTCCAGCCTGGGCAAGAGAGTGAGATTCTTTCTCAAAAAGAGACAAAAACAAAAAGGCGGTGTAGGTGTTCCCACTGGGTTCTCCTGTGTCTGCTCTTTTTTCCTGCCCAATGAGTGTGTCCAGGACATACTCAAGGCTCCTCCAGCTTTCCCCAATCATAAAGTGCATTCCACATGTCACACAAAGCAGGAGGCCCTCCTTGCAGTATCTCAGATGAGGTCCTGGTTTCCTTTGAGATTTTTATCTTTTTTTTTGTTTGTTTTTTGAGACAGTGTCTCGCTCTGTCTGCCAGGCTGGACTGCAGTGGCACCATTTCGGCTCCCACAACCTCTGCCACCCACAATTTCCCATTTTTGTTTAGAGGTGCATAGAACAATTGTCTTACACAGATTGGATGAAACATGGTATTATGTTACTGTTAATTTTTTTTTTTTTTTTGAGATGGGGTCTCGCTCTATTGCCCAGGCTGGAGTTCAGTGGCCGGATCTCAGCTCACTGCAAGCTCCGCCTCCCACGTTTACGCCATTCTCCTGCCTCAGCCTCCCGAGTAGGTGGGACTACAGGTGCCCGCCAACATGCCCGGCTAGTTTTTTTGTATTTTTTAGTAGAGACGGGGTTTCACCGTGTTAGCCAGGATGGTCTCGATCTTCTGACCTCGTGATCCGCCCATCTCGGCCTCCCAAAGTGCTGGGATTACAGGCTTGAGCCACCGCGCCTGGCCGTTACTGTTAATTTTTAAGGATCGTTGCAAAAGATATTGTTTACCAATAAATCTGTCCAGCAGAATCACAAGACTTCAATAAAGACAATTATTTTCTTTAGACGCGTAAATAAAACTCTCAACGTTTGTCAAATTCAAGAGCTATGAATAACATTTACCACCTATTTCCAGCTCGACAAACATCTGCTGACACCATTCGTGGGGGTGGGGCTGTGGGTGTCAGGCCTCTGTGCGAAGCTCGCGTGAACTTACATTTATTGCTGATGGGTTCAGGATTAGTTTGCATCCAAACCAAATTAAACACGTAGTGGTCACAGCAAATGTGGAAACGAACAATATCTGAAAGTTGGGAATCTGAAAAACAAGGCAGGAGGGGTTTTCCTTCTCTGAATAACAAAAGAAAAAAGGTAACAGATAAACCACACTTGAGGCCATTAACTAAAAATTATCCTGATTAGGACACAATGGTGGGGAGTCCTGCGTGCTCAGCCTGCTCTCCCCTCCGTGCAGCAAAGGCTGGGCTGGGCAGGAGCTTCACTGTCTGGGGGGCAACCTCAGGGGCCCCTCTCGGTGCCACAACGTCCGTGTGTGGGCACACACGGGCACACTGTCGGCCCCTCTGGCTTTCTCCCTGGCAGAGGCTGGGTGCAAGCTGGACTCACCACATTGGCATTCCTCCTGGAGACGGTGAAGCTCACAATTGCCGAGGGGATGCACTGGAATGAAACCAGAATCCCATGAGTCCGCCGCTCACCCAAGCAACTGAGACCCTGAAATACTCTAACATTTGCGCTTCCGGAAGGATCCGAATCATATTCGCAAAACAGTGTTGCCGGCCCACGTGACACAGCGGGTTGGCTTGACTAGAAGGCCCCCAGGTACTTCTCAGTTTTAATTTTTTGTTGAGATGGGGTCTCACTGTTGCCCAAGCTGATCTTAACTTTGGGCTCAAGTGATCTGTTCACTTTGGCTTCCCAAAGCACTGGGGTTACAGGCGTGAGCCACTGCACCCAACCCCCAGGTACTTCAAAATAATTTATTCTGAAAAAAGTTTTTATTTTTCTGATGTGCTAAAAAGATATTTGTGAATGAAGGCTCTTCCAGCTGGATAAGCTTTGAAGTCTAGAATGTAACTCATGCAGGCACAAGACCTGGTCTTTGCTGAAAATCACCCAAAAAGGAAAACGTATCCGCCAGGTGCAGTGGCTCACACCTCTAATCCCAACTACTCGGGAGGCTGAGCTGGGAGGATCTCCTGAGCCCAGGAGGTCGAGGTTGCCGTGAGCTGTGATTACACCCTGCACTCCAGCCTCGGTGACAGAGCGAGACCTTGTCTCGAAAAAAAAAAAAGAAAAGAAAAGAAAAAGAAAGAGGAGGCCGGGCGTGGTGGCTCACACCTGCAATCCCAGCACTTTGGGAAGCGGAGGCAGGTGGATCATGAGGTCAGGAGTTTGAGACCAGCCTGGCCAACATAGTGAAACCCCTTCTCTACTAAAAATACAAAAAAATTAGCCTGGCTTGGTGGCGGCCGCCTGTAGTCCCAGCTACTCAGGAGGCCGAGGCAGGAGAATTGCTTGAACCCAGGAGGCAGAGGTCGCAGGAAGCTGAGATCGCCCCACTGCACTCCAACCTGGGCGACAGAGCGAGACTCCATCCAAAAAAACAAAAAAAAAGGAATCAAGGAAGGAAGGAAGGAAGGAAGAAAAAGAGGAAGGAAGGAGTGAAGGAAGGAGCAAGACTCTGCATGTGAGGGAGGCCGAAAGGAGTCCCAGAGTCCCTCGGCCTTCTTGTCTCCAAAGGGCCACACCAAGGCTAGGAGTACAGGGCCAGGGATGGAGGTTGGGACGTCAGGGGCAGGGAGGTGAGCGGAGTCGGGCCAGCCCAGGCCTGTGGCCCTTGCTTCTGCAGCCATGAGACCCCGGGCTCTGAGGCAGGGGTGCGGGCAGGGGCATCTGAGGGGCTGAGCACAGCAGTGCTGGGTGAGGAGGCGGGAGAAGCCCCGTTGGGGCCTGAGTGAGGGGCAGAGCTGGGGCCAGTACAGTCAGGCTCAGTTCAGCACCCACTCAGGTGCCACGAGGGCCCAGGGTAGAGAAGAAAGGCCAGGGGCAGGGCCAAGTGGGGCCAAGGCTGGGCGCGGGTGGGCACTTGCCCATATCTGGCGGCCGCTGAAGCTGAAGGGGCACAGCCCACAGCTCCACTGGGACAAGGGCGGCTCCCATGGTGAGGACAAAGGCCACGGAGAAGCTTCCAGAGAGGGCAGCAGAGTGGGACGAGTCACCTGCCCCAAAGAGCTTTGTTCTAAGGGAGCAGAGACCCAGGACAGCACAGGACGGGGCGTCCACATTGTTTTTAAGACTTTGGAGGGCGCTGCAGGGGACAGTCACCAACAGTGTCCCTAGAGAAAGGGCAGGGGCCAGGGACCCAGCAGGCGTGGGGAAGCGAGAGGAGGGGAAGCGAGAGGAGGGGAGTGCTCGGAACTGGCTGAAGCAGGAGGGGCATGGGGTCAGCGGGTTGTGGGCCAGAGCCCAGGGCTCGGCCAGCACTGTGCTTTAGCTGCAGGGACGCTGGAGAGGCAGTGGCCGGGGCTCGCAGAGGACCAGGGGTCAGCGGTCGTCTGTCCTCCTTTGCTCTGAGGATCAGTGGGTGCCCCCACCAGCCTCGGCACTGTGTAAGATTCTAGAAAAACAGCATGAAGCTTTGGGAGCGTGTGGGGCGCAGGTCTCAGTCCCAGTCCCCTTGAGGGCAGATGCTGCCAGCTTTGGCAAGTTGCAGCCGCAGGATCAGAATCAACATGCAATTCCCTGCACAGGCATCTGCAGAGCAAGGTTCAGACCTGCTTCGTCGGTAATTCTCAAAGGTGATGAATCCTATGTGAAACTAAAGTCATATGAAGAGATTTTTTTTTTTTTTTTTGAGTTGAAGTTTCACTCTTGTCGCCAGGCTGGAGTTCAGTGGCCCGATCTCGGCTCACCGCAACCTCTGCCTCCTGGGTTCAAGTGATTCTCCTGCCTCAGCCTCCCGAGTAGCTGGGACGACAGGCATGCACCACCACGCCCGGCTAATTTTTCTATTTTTATAGAGATGGGGTTTCTCCATGTTTGTCAGGCTGGTCTCAAACTCCTGACCTCAGGTGATCCGCCTGCCTGCGCCCCCCAAGGTGCTGGGATGACAGGCGTGAGCCACCGTGCCCGGCCCATAGGAGGAGATTTGAATGAGGTACAGGTGACAGAAACCTGCACATCTCAGAGCAAAGAAACCGGAGCACGTGCCGGTGAGCTCGGACACCGGAAGAGACCTGGAGGAAGCTGCTTACAGAGCCTGCAGCACAGCGCAAGTAATCCATCTCGGCAGGGAACACGTTCCCCAGGTACAGCGAAAACCCTGAGGTCACCAGGAGGCAGCTCTGCAAGACAGCGACAGAAGCCCAGGTTACAACGCACCCCATCCCCGGCTGGACACCGACCTTTCAGCTTCCACTTCACTGTCACTGGCTCACCCACGGCCCCCAGCATCAGCCGCACCTGCACCCGGGGCCCGCCCAACCTGGACTCCTCCTGTAGGACAGACGCAGCCCCGCTGCAGCCCAGGACATGGACCAGCCTCCCCCAGCCACGTCCGAGCATGGACCCCCATGCTGTTACCTGGAGGAGAGAAGGAAGGGGATCTGCCAATATTTAGAGCAAGGAATGGCACCTCTCCCCACAAAATACCCCTGTCCCAACATGTTGTGTGTACAGAGTCTTCCGGATCCCATACTCAGGTCCAGATGCGAGACTGGAAAGCAACTGCCCATCCCCCTCCAACTGCAGAACCTAATTTCCAGATCTGGAAGAAGATCCCTCCAGGCACCGGCTCCAGGCCTAGGGCCTCCCGAGCAGGGCAGACCCTAGCAGGAGGTGGAGGGGGGGCTCTCTCTCACGCACAGCACCGCAGGGGTGAGACAGAGGGGAGTCAGTGTCAAAGGTCACTGGGACCCAGGGTCCTGGCAGAGGAAGTGAGGTCTGGGACAGAGGGGACCTGGCCTGGGCAGGGGAGGGGCTGCAACCAAGTCCAGGGCACCGGGTGGAGGAGGGCAGAGCCCAGAGATGGCCGCCACCACCCGGGAGCCGCCTGTCCCCAGCTCCGAGGCGGATGCCTGTCTTGGTGAGGCATGCTCAGGCCATGGGAGGTGGACAGGACCACTGTGGGTGCTGCAGGGGCTGCTGGCGGAGGCGAGGGCACAGGGAGGGGAGAGATTGCGGCCTGGATCTCATTCTCAGCCCAAGCTGCACGGAACCTGGAGTGCCTGCAGAGAGGCCTGTCCTGCGGCCTGGCTCTGAGCAGCTGCACACACTCAGGCCCAAGTGGCTCCGCCAATCATCTCTGTGCCCACGATGGTGCTGGGAATGGCCAGGACCCCAGGGAAGTCCCTCGGACATCTGGCGCTGCCCGTCCGCCCTAGGCCAGTTCCTTTACACACCAGCTCCCTCACAGCCGACCCCTGCGGCTCTCCCTAGGAGGAGGAGGTCCCTGAGGTTCTTTCACTGAGGCCTGACCTGAGGGCCTGAGACACCTCCTCCCACCTTTGCAGGTGACCCCTCGGAGGACTCTGGACCCCCAGAGCCGAGGGTCATGGAGGCTCTCGGGGCCCATGGGTAGTCCCGGGACTGTCCCTGCCCTGGTGGGACTCAACCACAGCCTGGAGCAGCTCGAGGCTGGCACAACAGACACCCATAAATTAATAAAAATAACTGTGAAAACACAAGCAAAACAAGCTCGTCAGCACCCAAGAGTTCTGCAGCATCAGGGTTAGTCTGAGAGTTGCTCTTTCTGTCCCACCCGGGGCTCCAGGGCGCCGCCGTCCATCACCAGAGGGACCAGGTGCTCGTGGCCCTCCAAGGTGTTGGTGTAGAGCTACTCACCCCCATTAGCACGGAGAAGACCCACGTCTTGGGGCTGAAGCAGGGGGGCAGTCTCTTCGACAGCTGCAGGTCACTCGGCTTCGTGTCTGGTGCGTAGCTGGCGGGGTCTTGCCGGCCCCGCTCCAGTGTGGGCATCCGGTCATAGGCCAGCTCCTCTCTGAATGGCTCTTGGGTCATGGCACTTGGGGACACCACAGCTGTGCTGAATGTACAGCCACGTGTCACCAGTTCTTTATCTGGAATAAAATTATCATCGGTTTTGACCGCTCTGAAGAAACTTCAATAAGTTGTTTCCAAGAAATATTTTTTAACAGAAGAAATATTGTCCATACTGAAGTGCTCTAAATTTGAAGAAGAAAATGAACACTTGAATCTAAAAGTGAAAAAAATAACTTTCCTGGAAAAACAGACCTGAATAGTCTGGGTTCAGGGTGAGATTCTACGCTTTAAATGCCTCATTGATCCATGTGGGCCCTCCAGGTGCAACAACACCTGACAACTTCCACCGGCAACTTCGTCCATGAACCCATCACGCCGGGGACTCAAGCACATTAAACTGCTCCAATTGGTAGCTAAACAAGAGATTGTAAAATACGCCTCCACTTAACAGCTTAATGTCTGAGCACTTACCTCCCCGCCGCTCGGCAGTTGGGAGCGCTGGTCTCTGGGTGAGGGACTTCCAGCAAGAACTATTCACAAATGAAACAAAAGCTCAGCAAACTTGCGCTAAAGGCAGGGGAAGGAGAGCTGCTTCCTGAATATCAATGAGGGGAGGAATCGGGTGGATCCTAGAAATGTTTCGTGTTGGTTGTATAAACCACTGCCTGGGAGCTGTCAGAACCCAACTAGGAAAGGAAGGGCCATCCTGTGTCACTCGCCAAAGACCTCGGGTATCTCAGAAGAAAGAAGTGTCCCTAAGGTTAGAATCCCACCAAATACACATTCCGAGCAGGCCCTGTTTCTGAAACATAGCTGTTTGCTCAAAGGTCTCATACATCTTTCCAAGCAGACTTTTTCTATCCCCCACAGCCACACGGTGGGAATCGCCTTCACAAGGTCACACAAGCATTCTCGCACTTGGCTTAGCTGTGTGGCCCTTGGGCTGCTCCAGATTCGGCCCTGTGGTTTGCGTGGGCAGCCTGGACGGCTGGTAGGCCCAGTCCCGCTGCCCCCTTTATCTCTGCTCACCAAGCAGAGAGAAACCACAGCAATGTGTGTCGCCCAGAGACACTGGCACCCTGACAGTTACAGGGGCAGATTCTTTGTGCACATTGTAAAAAGGCTGAAACCAAAGTTTCTGAAAAACCAGCTCCTTAAACCATGAACCCACATTAAAACTTGAGTAAAGTCATCAGGTTCCAGACCATGGAATGTTCTGTTGTCTTTGTTTCAATCAAGGAAGATGCTTTTAATAAGCTTTTATTAGCTTTTAGTAATATTATACATGCAAGCATCCCCACCCCAGTGAAAATGCCCACTAAATTACCTCGATCAAAACGAGTAAGTATCAAGTACACATAAATGCAGCTCAAAACACTTTGCTCAACCACATCCCCATGGGAAACAGCAGTGATAAATCGTTAGCAATAAATGAAAGTTTAAGCTATACTGATATTTTAGGGTTGGTTAATTTCGTGCCAGCCACCGCAGCCAATGTTCTGTTGTCTTCGTTTCAATCCAACAAGGATGAGAAATAATTTTCACAAACTATAATCCATGAAGTCAAGAACTATTCTGAATGGATTGAGAAACCTCCCAAACTTCTTTTCTGTCTTTTAAAGCGATAAACGGGATTAGTGGGAATTAGTCCAACTGGATCGAATCCTCCTGTGTTTCTTTTTGTTTGAAAAAAATGTGAATCGGATTTCAACATTTTTTCTTTCAAAAGTTCTCCACTTAAAAATGCAAACAGGCTGCCCTGAACCAGAGGTTGCAGAGCAAACCCCTCAGCTTCCCAGATCATAAGTCGTCACTTGAGAAATGCTCCCATGTTACCGTTGGCAACGCTAGTTTCTAGAACAGGCCCTGTTCTTTCATACGATCTTCCAACAAATTCTTGCTTCTAAAATGCCCTTCCTCCCTCTGCCTGCTGACGTTCCATCATCATTCAACATTCGACAAACATTTACGGGGTGGACAGAGAAGTGACATCCTTCCTACAGGCTGTTTACAATCAATGGGGGCACCGGAGTGCACAGGATAAACAAATAGTGTGTTATTCAGTGATATGGTTTGGCTGTGTCCCCACCCAAATCTCATCTTGAATTGTAATTCCCATAATCCCTATGTGTCATGGGAGGGACCTGGTGGGAGGTAATTGAACCATGGGGGTGGTTACCCCCACGCTGCTGTTCTCCTGACAGTGAGTGAGTTCTCACGAGATCTGATGGTCTTTTATAAGGGGCTTTCCCCGCTTTTGCTTGGGACTTCTCCTTCCTGCTGCCTTGTGAAGACAGACATGTTTGCTTCCCCTTCCACCATGATTGTAAGTTTCCGGAGGCCTCCACAGCCCTGTGGAACTGTGAGTTAATTAAATCTCTTTCCTTTATAAGGATCTGACCCTAAAATTACCCAGTCTTGGGTATGTCCTTATAGCAGCATGAGAACAGACTAGTATGTCCAGCGACACATGTGATTTCCTCTATGAGGGAAAATAAGTCAGGGGAGAGAAATGAGGGGCTGCTGTTTGCAGGGGCCAGGGCAGGCCTCAGTGAGAAGGAGGCAGGGAGGGGAGGCTGGCAAAGCAAAGGACACAGGTTGGGGAGGGCAGGCGAGGACCACGCAAGGGGGGTACAGGTAGGACAGCCGGGTACTAGCACCTGTGGGTGTGGAGACGACTCTGCTTCGACTCTGAGGCAGACCTGCTGGAGGGGTCTGGGCAGAGCAGCATCCGGTCACTCACTGGGTGACGAGCAGGCTGGGGGGTGGGAGGAGCAGGTGCTGCCTGGCATTGAGGTGGCAATGGGCAAGCGGTGAGGAGGGACTGGGCTCTGAATAGGGTTTGAAGAACGGACGCAATCTGCTGTCAGAGCGATGTTGCCGAGTTCTGTCTGAGCAGTGAGGACAGAGATGAGAAGACCAGGGTGGAGAGAGTGTGGAGCAAGGATCTTTTAGTAGAGCCGGGGTTTTGCCATGTTGGCCAGGCTGGTCTCGAACTCCTGACCTCAAGTGATCCACCCACCTTGGTCTCGCCAAGTGTAAAGATATTGTTAAAATAGAGAAAAATCAATGAAATCAAGAGAATTTTTTTAAAAAAGATCAATAAAATTGATAAATATAGACTGATCAAGGAAAATGAGAGGGATGAGATAAATTACCTATGTCAAGAATGAACGATGGTTCATCATTATGAACCACACAGACAATAAAAGGATAATAAGAAAATATGCTGAACAACTTTATGCCAATCATCTGACATCTAATAATTGGATGAAATGGACAAATTCCTTAAAAGAATTACCAAAGTTTACTCGCTATTACCCTGATAACTTTAATAGCCCTCTAGCTGATGCAGAAGTGAACTTCTCATTAAAAACCTTCCCACAAAGAAAACTCGAAGCCCAGATGGGTTCCTTGGTGAACACTACTACAGTTTTTAGGGAATAAGTTACATCATCCTACTCCCTGGTCACTGCAGGTCCAGCTTAAACCGACCCCAAACCAGACAGACACAGAAAATGGGAGGTCGGCCACAGAGCAATCTGCTTCACCAGCACCGTCCCCAGCCCTGGACAAAGCGTTACCAAGCTGAGTCCGGCAATACACGAAAAAGATACGAATTGCGACCAAGTGAGTTTTCCCAGGAGAGCCAAGCAATGAAATTCCCTATACAGGCTGAGATAAAAAGCTACAGGATCATTTGAATACACGTAGAAAAGCGTTGCAGAAAATTTCACACCCACTTGTAAGAACTCCTGGAAAAATAGGACTAGAGGGAACTTCCCCAACTTAATAAAGAACACCAACAAAATACGACTCCTAACATCACTCTGGGCGGTGAAAGATCGCGCACTTTTCCCTAAGGTGTGGGCGGCAAGAAGGCGGCCCCCGCGAAGCTCCGCCCACTCACGCGAGGCCACGCCCGCTC